GTGTGTGTGTGTGTGTGTGTGTGTGTGTGTGTGTGTGTGTACGCGTGCAGAATTTGATAGCCAGTATCTTTCCTGCATTATTTTGTATCTTATTATTTTTAAAAGATTAATTTGCTTTTATTTCATGGGTATGAGTGTTTTCCCTACATATATGCATGTACCACATGCATGCAAATGCCCACGAAGGCCGGAAGAGGGAGTTGAATCCCCAGGAACTGGAGATTTAGATGGCTGTGAGCTGCCATGTTTGTGTTGGAAACCCAATCCTGGTCTTCACCTCTGTGCTCTTCGCCTCTGAGTCATCTCTCCAGACCACTTTTATCTAAGTTTATTTAGCATTGCAAGGCACTCCCAGAGAAGTAGCATTTATCAATGAAGTATTTGGGGGGGTGGTGGTGGCAGTGTTGACTTTCATTCTTGAGTGTTAACATTTGTGATTCCTGTCATTATTTGTTCACTCTGTGAGCCTGCTCCTCAGAATGTGTCTGCACAATGTAAGGGCAACAGGAGTTAGACTGGACTGACTTCAGTTTTTAATTGCCATATGACATGCCCTTTCATAATTTCTCATTTATGTGACATCCAAACATGTCTTAAAAGGGCTTCTGTTTGTTTAAATTCGGCCTCTGAATTTCTCATTTATGTCTCACTCACCATACCTCAGCATCAACACCACATCTTCAAGGATGTCTTTCTGGCTTCATATCCAGTTTTTGTACCCCAGGCATGTGCCTCTTTTGAACATGGCTGTCTGCTTCTGTACTGTAAGGAAGTCTGTGTGTGCTGTGATAAATGTTCACCTCTCTAGCACCCATTACAGTCACTTAAAATCATGGGAGAATAATCACACATCTGATGACTAAGTGAGAAAATGCCAAAGTAACTCACCAATGGAGCAATGGTTTCTAAGGACATTTGAATTGAAAAAGACAACATGGTTTGAATCACCATACTTCAGTACAGTCAATTTTCAGAGTGTTGCTAATATCTTCATCCATTAAAAGAGTCAATCCCTGGGAAATACTTGGCATGCCACAGGAAATAATGACTTACTCTTATGGGCAAATAAAACATGCAGAGGTCATATTGAAGTCATTTAATGTAAAAGTGCTTAGTGTTTGTGTTTTCCCACACCCAAGGCCTCGAAACGCTGAAAAGCAAAGCAGTGATTCTAGCCAATTGTAAGGACAGATAATTACAAATGATCCAAGCAAAACTGGGTTTCTATTAGGAGTAAGGTACTGTGAGGCTCGAAGGTGTAAGGCAAAAAATGTGGTTCCTGTTTCACATGAGGCCCTACTCCTGTTAAGGACACAGTGTCACTCTGTCATACAGGTAGTAAAACTAATAGCATATAGAAAGACGCAGAGCACTAGGTAAAGAATAGAATCACAACAGCTGTGCTGGAGCCAGGAGGACAAGGTCACAATGGGGACACATTGTAGCTATAAGCAGGATCTGATGTTTGTGCCAAGTATGGACACATCAAAGCTATGAGCAGGATTTATGTTTGTGCCAAGTATGAAGACACAGGTTTGTAAGGAGAGCTATATGATGAGGTCCAGCTTGAAAATTTATTTCTGAATCCAATGGAAGAAAGATATGGCAACAGGTAGGCAAGAAGCAGGAACAGCTAAACCTGTTGCTAGAGACCAAATAAATGACACAGGGCATAGTGATGTGCAGAAATACTTATCACTGTCCCGGAACTCACTGTGTAGACCAGGCTGGCCCTAAACCCAAATATCAACCTGCAGGAATCGAAGGCTCTTGATAATATGCCCAGCCTAATCCAGTCCATTTTACTGTATGTGTGCCTATGACACTATGATTAGCCATTTCTTCTTAGTGTTTATCTCCTCACAATGCTTCTGTAGTTTTCTGGTTATTGCTGTTAATTTTATGTTTTAAGCTTTTTGGGGGTTTTCAAGACAGAGTTTCTGTGTAGCATTGGAGCCTTTCCTGGAACTTGCTCTGTATACCAGGCTGGCCTTGAACTAACAGAGATCCCTCCTGAGTGCTGGGATTAAAGGCGTGTGCCACAACCTCCAGGCTGCTTTTTATTTTCAATGTTTATAGGTGTTTTGCCTACATGTATGTCTATGTACCAGACATGTGCCTGGTACCCAGAAGAGGGCATTGGATCCTTCTAGACTGAAAGTATAGTCAGTTGTGAGCAGCCATGTGGGTGCTGGGAATTGAACCCAGGTCTGTTGGAAAAGCAGCCAGTGCTGTTAACTGCTCCAAACTAACTACTGAAAAAGAAGTATTGTCAGTTTTTTTCCATTGTAGGAGCACTAAGAAATGTTAAGTTGGGATTCAGTGGGAAATCATCAGGGAGTCTGTTTCAGGCCTAACTGTTGTCATCTCAATTCCAGAAAAATGAGTTAGGATATGCAATCATGACAGTGGACCACTAGATGGCACTGTGCACATTTTACTGAATACCTATCAAGCATTAAGGACTCTTGAGAGCACTTGATACTTGGCTAAATCAAGAGTAAGTTGGGCTTCCTCATCTATGCAACTAGATGTGCTTTATGTTGCTATTCTTGGCAAGGCAGCATTCTGAATAACAGCCCCCCACATTAACCATATCAAGAATGAAAAAATAAAAACATGTTCTTATACTTCATATAATAATGTTATTAGTATTGATTTCAGGGATGAGTTTTCAATACCAAAGAGTTTGAACTTATAAATCAATGTACACAGACAAAGGTCCACTGGTTTTCTATACACCCAGCGACTACAGGTAGAAACTTTGGGTTGGGGATGAAAGAAATAGAGGAAATGATTGCTATGTTTGTATGCTGTTTGCTGATGTCACATACACTTTTTTCTTTAAAACAGAACACAGAGTGTGAGTCTATTAGGCCAACTTAAATCCAGGTATCTGTTGGGAAATTACCAAGGATAGACAGAAGGAAGGAAGGGAGGGAGGGAGGAAGGAGGGAAGAATGCAGTAGTTATCAGAGATAAATAACTAAGCATCCTCTGATGTATTCTGAGAGATTTTGGCTTTGCTGCATCAAGTGGGGTACTGGCCAGCAATAGTAACATTGCTAAGGAACTATTTGATGACCTTATAATTTATTATAATGTGTGTAAGCCCAATTACGTCCAACTGGAGATGCCTAATGTCATAAACACCAGAGGGAGAAATGATAAGAATATAAACAACTTGGGGAGTAGTGTATGTCATGATGTAGTTCCAGCCTTTACTCAGAGAAACAAAAGCTATTTCATAACAACATCTCCAGGCAAATATATTCACATCAAAGAATACAAAGCACTGCCTGAAGTCTGTCTTTTTTGGTCCTTTGGTGTGAAGAGAGTCTGGTATGTCCTAAAACAGGAGAACTGTTGTAAGAATTTGATTGGTATCAACTCATGGGGTTTAGGAATTATTTATATAATTATGTGCATATTATTTTAGAGAGCTCTGAAGTTAAACATCTATAAGCAGGACATCACTGCATTAATTTTTTTTAATTTGGAAAAAAGGAAATTGGAGGTAGACTGAGAATGTATATATAATTTGTCAATGTATACATTCTACAAGCATATGGTGTGTGTACACACCAATAAACATGCCCCTCCAACACTTATCCATGCCTCCAAAAGCTGCACAGAGAAACCCTGTCTTGAAAAACAAAACAAAACCAGACAAACAGAAAAGAGCTCTCTCTCTCTCTCTCTCTCTCTCTCTCTCTC